TCATGATGATAAATAGCATTACTCATGAGAAAAATATCTATGTTTTATTATTTACAAGAAATGAAATAAGTTGGCACATCATCGATATTCCATCATCATGATGATAAATAGCATTACTCATGAGAAAAATATCTATGTTTTATTATTTACAAGAAATGAAAATTTTGAAGAACACAATCATGTTTGGTTTGGATAAAAATAAGATTTTTAGTAGATTTTGATAAAAGTTGATGAAATGTATGGTTAAAAAATTGTAAATCATAGGAAATGTATTAATAAAATTAATTGTTGATTTAAATTAAATTTTTAATCAATTTTTAGTTGAACCAGGCAGGTAAAAAATTGGTAAGTAATGTGTCCGATTGCAATGGGTGATGGCCAATGCTGTCTTTTTTCGACTGAATCACTGTGGGATTCAATTTTCGTTGTTGTCGTGGTTGTTGATGAGGACGTGATAGGTGAAGGTGTTTGTGGTTGGATTGGGTGGTCGTGTGGTGTTTATATCTTACTAAGCCCCTATTTGGGGAAAATTAAAATGTTAATTTAATTCAACAATTAATTTTAACTATACATTTTATAGGATCCATCACTTTTCAACTACACATTTTATCAACGTTTATCAGAAATCTACTTAACAATCTGATTTTAATCCCCAGAACTTAGATATCAAGTTAATTTTATGTATCCATACATTATTCTATAAGAATCCAAAAGTAAGTATTTTTCAATTCAAAGGGGGGAAAAATGCAAGTGGAGTGCCTAAGTTCCAATATTTATACAATACTAGTGGTGCATCGTACGTTGCACGATTATCATTATAATTTTTCTAAGTGATTTTCTTAAAATGATAATCTATTTCAAAACGATTACTTAACATCATACCCAAAATCAATGGAAGATCGTGGGGGCAAGAGTTCCAGGACTACTATAGGAAATCAAAGGATATGCAATAGTTCAAACTTTTTTTGTTAAACCCAGTGTGCATATCCTTGACATAGATCATGATTTGTTAACCTATTGCAATGACTAATCAAAAACCAAGTAAATCGAGTTAATACCTCAAGTTTATAAGACCAGTTTTGGGGAAAAATAAATTTAATTTGAAAATTGAAACGATTTGACGTCTGAACATTCATTTGCTATCTGCATCATCTGAAGACTCTTGAACGATGTAGTACAACAACTGTTCGACCCGAGCTCTATCTCTCAAACTAAACACCAATGAAATTTCACATTGTCTTTACAAAATTTCAAAACTAAAAGTGAAACCAGCAAGTCATGGTAATGTTGTGATTGCAAAGGAACCATGACTCATTAAAAAGACACCCATAACATAGATGACAAGACTAATAAACAGAAATATGCAGTTGAAAAGTAAAAGTGCCATACAAATTTATGAGGTGACTATTTAATAAATTGCATTCTTGGATTATCTCTTCTTCATCCAGAATTCTTCGAATGTAAAATTTTCCTTGTCCAATACCGACTCAACCTGAAGGTAACAAAGAAAATATGAAAACATTACTAACAGGAAAAAGGACAAATGAGGAAAACGTAAACCATAATTAATTATGAAAATCCCACCATAAAAGAGATAATTATCAACATAATTGAAACATAAAAAAACAAAACATCTAGTCCTAACATGTATAGAACTACAAATTAATCGATCCAAGTTAGTGTTGGCACACTGAGTATCAGCATAAGATTGACTTGAATTATCTCTAAACCAATCTCAAAGAAGTTATTTTGTAGAGTTAAAAATGAGTTCAGTTTGATTATCTTTGTTATTTGCATGTTACTTCTTTTATCAATCGTTTATTAGCTTTAATTCTTTATCTAATAAGATAAACTTGAACAAGCCATTGATGAGCCAATCTCAAGTAAAGTGCAACTGACTCAGTCATTTTACAATCCTAGACACATATCATAAACAAATTTAATCAAGCGAATGACAAATGCTATAGATGAAACCAAATTCAGACCCATAAGCACATAGGGAACAAAAAAAATAAAACATAAAATAAATAAATAATAATAGAAAAAGAAAAAAGAGTTCACCTCAACTGTAGCATTGAGATTAAGGTTTGTACATACAATAACAAACTTTTAGCAAATAAAATATTATGCAAAAATACTTTCCATAACGATAAAATTATTTTTCAAGTCAACAGAGAAAGAAGAGTGATTGACAATAAAAAAATATATAGATGGAAAAAAATCTGCAAGTCAGCGTTTGTTTGGCCAATAGTTACCAACGCACCAACCATAATAGATTCAATAACCAGCTACCAAAGAAGAAATTTGAATTCTTGAGTCAATCATGACAAATACATCAAAAGATGTACAGACTATGTAGTCCAACACTACTAGCTGCAATAGGAATTTGGCTTATAAATTATTCACCAAACCCCTCATGCCACTATCTAGAATCAGCTCATCATTTACATTACGAATAATAACAGCAAAAGTCAATGTAGAAAGTAACAAACTTGAGTTGGGTAAGCATAAGTTACATTTTTGTCCCTCACAAGTACAAAACTTATGGACTTACCAATTGGTATTAATGAGTAGAGTAATGCTTTTATTTTTAGTACACATCCTTACATTTTTTAGTCAAATACGTTGAAGAGAAGATCAAGCAGTAATATTTCTCAACACATAGAAATAGACCTTTATCTAATAACAAAAATCATTAATTCCATAAGCAAGCAATATTGATTCCATTTAATACCATTTACAAAACTTGTAGAAATATATGACCTACTTAAAAAAGAAATCTATTAACATAATAACTGCTTTAATTACATAGAGTAAAATTATATTTTATTTGTAAGTTTGATGTCAGAAAATGCCTTCCTAAAACTCATGAGGAAATATAATACATTCATTATTTGCGGATATCAGCATTCATCAGAAAAAGTCATTTTGGATATCAAAAAGTAAATTGTATCAACTTATCAATGTTACAAATGCAACATAATTTTGAGAAAAATGGCAAGGTTGTACTTGGAATGACCTCATTATGTTAAGCCTTAGACAAATTCTTTATGGGGAAAAAAAGCTTCCACTCGAGGAAAATGAGTAATTCTCTTATAATACAGCATATATTTCAATTAACTTAGAGATCCACAACATGATAATGTCTCTAAATTAAAATAATACAAAATTCGTCACATAGCTCAAGGATACACGATGTAGAAAAAGTGGAAGAAAATTAAGTATTTATGAGCACCTCTGAATATCAGCATTGACTTTCAACCTTGTGATGGTTCATTCTGCGAAGTGAAACAATTCCTCGTGCTTCACCCGCTCAATAGATACACATTTGTCAACTACTTAACCTAGCATAAGATTTCAAATTGTACTAAAGGCAACTCCAAGATTGTGTGTGTTGAGATAAAAAATAAATGAAGGGTAATTGATTTTTTATAAAGCCGAAAAAAATAATAAAAGTTAATTGAATGAATTCTATCAAAAAGTCAAAAGATTGATCATACAATAATTTATTTACAAGAAAAATACACATGAAAGTTGAAGATCAAAGATATGCACACGTCTTACAAACCCTTCCAAACCATCGAGAAGTAGAGAAATACTACAATGGATTTGATTCCTTTACCACAAATTCCAGAAAAGCACAATCCAAGTTGATTAATATTCTAAGTTTTAATTTAGTTGCATTCCATTATTTCATTTTCTTTATTCAAATATAATAACCAAACTAACTAAAGTTTTAAATTCTAATTTCTGTAAATGGTTTTTGAGTTTGCCACATACACCAAAATAGAACCCATATTTCATTTGAACATCCAAGCAAAAGGCTCAAAAAGACAAACACATAGCCCCAAAACCCATAATTCTATGACAGCATTTCTTAATCACCGATTGACTTAAATAACACACCTAATCGAAGATTTAAAAGCGCACATCTGATTTCTGCAACTGTAGGGTTTATGGATTTTAAGAAAAGAAGAAACGAACACAACAATATCGATTGAAATTTGGGAGACAAGGTTCCTATCATATGATGCAATGAAGAAGCTCCAAAGAAAAATTGTGGGGGTTTGAGAAGTAGAAAGAGAAAACAAAAGTAGAGAAAATAAGATCTAAGGAAATCCAAATAGAAATGACAAGCGAAATTAAACAATAAATAGTAAAGAGATAAAAAGAAATGACAAGTCTTGAATGGTTGTGTAAAAACATGAGTAAAGAGGTATGTGAGCTTGTATAGAGAAATGGAGAAACTCTGTCCCGTGAGGAGAAAATTACGTAGTGTTTGAGAGGAAAAAATGAAAAAGGTAAAATTAGTATATATGACATTAACATGACACAAAGATGATGCCTTATGAATAGTAACAAACTTTGTTCTTTTATGTATTGTAGGGATTTGAAACATGACCTAATCTGATTGGGTCTTAGCTCAACAGGAATAGAGATCTAGTTACATATTTTAGTAGGTTAATTGAAACATCAACCCACGGATGAACCTATGAGCCTCGTAAAATAAAATAAATTATGGTACATTATGTTATCCTGTATAAACTGTACTAAAATTTTCATAATTGTACGAAAATGTAAGAAATTGTAAGATAGCCAAAATTAAACTTCTTGTGGATCAAACGAATACTATATGATATTTGAGAAGGAACGATGACCCAATCTTTAGGACATGTAACTTCCACAACAACATGTGAGGGACACCCAATTTATTTATGGCTACGAAACAAGGCAGAATCATATGGAATACAGCAAAGACGCAGTACTCTATTTTTCCACCATCATACCCAATATTGGCATGAAGCCTGTAACGCATTACAAATTGTCAATTACATATTGTGGACAAAATTTGGGACCCTTTTCAAGAAAACCACTAAGAATGGCTCATTTATGATTTTTATCTTTAAAATTACTTAATTTTTGAATTTTGCATTAACAGAAAACGAGTTCTAAATTTTTGCCTTACCATGCAACTATATATGCTAGTTATTTAACACGCAATGAGACATTACTTCCCAACTATGGCTCAAAAAATTCAGGTTCAACTGATTCTGTTGCTCCTTTTTCTCTCTTACATTCTGGCTTGTTCAGCTAATGTTAATAGAGAAAGAGACCTCAAGAGATGGATATCTTGGAACGTCGAAAATCACAAGAAGAAACAAGATTCTCTTAGAGCCGAGTCGTTCGGTGGAGAATCGAGTGCTCGTTGGGATCCGAAGCTAGGGGTGGCTGAAATGAACAAAATTCAAATGAGTGTGAGTCAAGATGGAACTGGTGATTTCAAGACTATCAAAGAAGCCATTGACAGCATTCCTTTGCACAATACTCGGAGAGTGGTGCTGGACATAAAACCAGGTGTTTATAGGTATTTATGTATGTAATGCCCTTTTTTCAAGCAATTAATCAGTGTTCAATTTGAGAGTGAGGGAATTTGAGTTTAACTGATTGGAGTTGTGTGTAGGGAAAAGATCAGTATCCCTAGAACAATGTCTTTCATAACATTTTCAGGCAATGCCGGTGATCCACCGAGCATCACGGGCAATGACACCGCGTCTGCGACCGGAGGAGATGGGACGCCGCTAAAGACTTACCAAAGCGCCTCGGTTGCCATTGATGGGGATTACTTCGTCGCCATCAACATGAAATTTGAGGTGAGTCTATATGTAAATACTTGTCGACGATGATTTTATGTTGGAGTACTATGTCTTAGTTTGTTCTAACATTTCTACTACTTAGTTTTCTGTAAGAGAGGTGAGTAAATTATACAATGGCAAGTGAAAATAGTCTCTTGCATAAATTTATTTTAATTATTGCTCTTGTAAGAAGTGAGACGTGATTGTTTTTTTCCTGCAGGGAATGTCATCTTGGGAAATAAAAAGAATTACTCTACAATAAATTTCATCTGTGGCCACGGAATTTTAAGAGAAAATTCAATTTGGTTACTAAACTTTAATTTAGTTTTAAATTTTACTACTCCATTATATTCTGTATAGTTAGCAGTTATACGATAAATAATCTTCCCCACAATTGCTACGTGACACTAGAAAAAAATGTTAAAACCGGCTCTAGTAATTTCTTTAGTTTAAAAGGTTAAATTTTTCTTTTTTTTGGCACTATTTTTATGATGTGGTATAGTGATAAATTGACATATCACATATCGACTACAAGGAGAACGCATTATGATTTGATTTTTAATAAAGTAATTTTCATCAATATGGAAGACAACAGATGACTGGGTGGTGAAATTTAAAACTGAACTAAAGTACTAATCTAATTTAAAATTGAATTATGGTTTAATAACCCAATTGAGACAAGTTAAATTTTAGTGACCTAGTTGCAATTTCTTTGAAAGTTCAGTTACCGCAAATGAAATTTACCATATATATTTTGAAGAAGATACACCTAATCTGAAGCAAGGAATCAAGGCATGTTGATTCCAAATCAACACAAAACATCCCAAAATAAATAAATAAATAAATAACATTGTCGTCCCATTATAGGTTGAGAACCAAACACGGTCACGGGCCAGCTGAAGTACTGCACCAACAATTTGTTTATTACTGGAATGGTTTTCTTCTATACAATTATCAAACTAAAAGATTCCCAGTAACAAGAATTAATATTTTCTTGATTCCATCTCGGCATTCTGCGGAATTATCGACTTGTTCATCAATTCGATGTGTGTGATCAATGCAGAATACAGCTCCGCATGTCGTTGGATCGAGAGGAGAGCAAGCCGTGGCACTTCGAATATCTGGAACAAAGGCTGCATTTTATAACTGTAGTTTCTATGGGAGTCAAGACACACTTTATGATCACAAAGGCCTTCATTATTTCAATAATTGTTTCATTCAAGGATCCGTTGATTTCATCTTTGGCTATGGCAGATCACTCTATGAGGTGAGCACGTCATTTTTATGGGATCAGTAAACTACTTAGCCCATCAAAAAACAACCTGGTTCACAGGCCCAAATGTTCAGCCCACTTCGAAAAACAACCTGGTTCACAGGCCCCTGCCAGGTGAGACACTAGGGGGTGGGGGCCACATATATATTTTTTTAAATACATTTGGGTGGGACCTGCTGTACAGTGAGGGGCCTGTAAGGCCCCTGTGAACCAATTTCATGTACAGTAGGAATTATTCAATATATTTGGCCTATAGGTGTATCTTAGCCCGACTGATGATATTTCACCATCTAATCTGGGCCCATAAAAGAACGATATTCATCATTAGTAGTTGTGATCATCATAGATTTAAGTGGCAATTCAATTAATGAATCAGTGCTCAGTGTCACCTAGACAGATGATGACGGCAACTAATGATGAAATAGTATTACTCACGATTTGACAGCTTCGACTTTCGACCATATCAATAACTGGTTTGTTATAGCTTGGACTAATTGACACGCTAGAAATAAATTTTGTGCTCTGTGAATTTCGGCAGAATTGCTATTTGAACTCGGTGGCCAAGAAGGTGGCCTCTTTGACTGCTCAAAAACGCACAAATTCATCAATATCAAGTGGATTTTCCTTCAAAAACTGCACAATAACAGGTAGTGGTTCGATTTATCTAGGAAGAGCATGGGGCGATTACTCGAGAGTTATTTTCTCTTACACATTCATGGATAAGATTGTTCTTCCCCAAGGTTGGAGTGACTGGGGCAAAACCAGCCGTGATTCGTACGTAACTACTTTACTCTTTACTTTAGTACCATGTTTGGAAATATTGAAAAAGAGAGAGAAATTATAATCCTCTTATTATTACTATGTACAGACGAGTGTATTATGGAGAATATAAGTGCAGCGGACCAGGAGCACACTCGACGGGGAGAGTGGCATGGGCTAGATCATTGACAGACGAAGAGGCCTTGCCTTTTATAGGCACATATTATATAGATGGTGATGCTTGGCTCATAAGCCATTAGCTAATTGAATTTGCAATTAAAATCGTCTTTTAAATATAAATATCATTTCAATAGTGTTTTTATTGTGGCGTCATGTAATCACTTATGATGATTTGACACATCACTTAGTCACTATCAACTATGTCATTCAATCGAGTAAAAAAACTTAAGTTCTTTAATTTCTCGACACGTTGACTTGATTTCGAAATAAAGTTGAGATGTAGATCAATCACATAACTTTTGAGTTAACGAAGACCATTAACTTAGTGGTGACATCGATTCAACGAACATAGCATGCAGAAGCTGTCAATTCGTGCCTCCACCATATATTAATCTCACTTTAGTACATTTGTATGGGTCCAATACAATAATTGATAGAAGTCTGCACAAATAATTTTGCCGACAAACTAACCTAAGATCTATTGAAAATATTGTTTAAAGTTGATAAAAAAAACGGTTGTCAAAAAATGTGGAATGAAAATCAATTTTGGAGGCCAAATTTTGACATATACGACCGCATATGCCAAACTTGGCTACAGTCGCTTAGGCTAAAATCTCTGCCGTGAAGAGAATTATGCGGTTGCATAGTGTTGAACTATGCGATCTCATAGAAGGCCAAAAGAGCCATTAGTGACCGTTTTGTTCAAAAATTTGGTGATTTTTGGAGGATTTTTTGGCACCACTTCGTATGACCATGTCTCTATATATAGGTGGTTTGTGATCATTATAATGATGTTGAAAACATACAAAAATCATAGCCATATTCAAGAACAAAAATCATTCCAAAAACAACAAGAAATCACAATTTTCTTCATCATATTCAAATTCTTCTTTAGTGTTCTTCAAGTTTTTGAGAATTACATTTAATGCTTGAGTGTTAATTCTTTACACGACTTGTTTAAATCCTGCAAACCATTTGCCTTAATACCTACAAGCATTATTTCAATTCGAGAGGGGGCAAATATAGTTTGAGGACAGCGATATCATGTTCAAGTCATCGGTGTTCGTTTTCAAATCAATTTCTTGGTTTGGTATTTGGTTCGTTGCTTTCATTGGCGATCTTTATTTTTCTGGTTTTGGTTCGTTGCTTTATTTTCCGATCCCTCAAATGGAAATCATCAAATTTCCCAACATTCTCAAACTATAACTTTGCGATGGAGAACTAAAGCACTTTGGCGACGATCAAGTTGATGAATCAAGACCTTGTACGGCTAGATAGCTTTGATGGAACGAATTTCAAAAGATGGCAAGATAAATTGAAGTTTCTACTAACAGTGTTAAAGATTTTTTACATACTTGATCTGGAATTGGTGCCACTACCGGAACCAACAAATGGAGAAACCGATGCGGTAAGGGCCGAAAGACAAAAGCGCCAAGAAGATGAACTCATATGCCGCGGTCACATTCTGAATGCATTATCGAACCGATTATATGATCTCTATACCAACACGACATCGCAAAGGAAATCTGGAATGCTTTGGAGAGTAAGTACAAAAACGAGAAAGGCACTAAGAAATTTTTAATCTCAAGGTACTTCGATTTCAAATTTCTAGAGAATATCTCCCTTCTTCCCCAAATTCATGAATTGCAAGTGCTTGTCAACAAGTTGAACGCGATCAAGATTGAGATTCCAAAAAATTTCCAAGTGGGAGTAATCATTGCTAAACTTCCCGGAACTTGGAAAGGATACTGAAAGAAAATAATGCATAGTTCCGAAGACTATTCTTTGGAACAATTGCAAAAATATCTTCGAATTGAGGAAGAGTCGAGGACAAGAGATAAGAATGATAATTCTTATGAAGGCACTTCAAAAGCCAATGTCGTGGAGAAGACCGAGTCTTCTACTAAATCCCACAAGAGAAAGCTTTCAAGGAATTTTAACAATTCCAAGAAGAAGACCAAAGATGGTTGTTTTGTGTGTGGAAAATCTGGACATTATGCAAAAGAATGTCGATATCGGAAAAGAAACAATTCCGAAGGAAAAGTGAACTACATCAAAGAAGAAAACATTGTAGCAACCGTAAGCGAAATCTATGCTATCAAGGGAAAGGTTCCAGATTGGTGGTATGATACGTGTGCAACAGTACATGTATTATATGATAAGTCCATATTCAAGATTTATTATGAAATTGATGGAGAACAAGAGATTCAGATGGGTAACGAGGTTTGATCCAAGGTATTTGGAAAAGAAAATGTGGATATCATCTTTACTTCCGACAAAACTGTTAGCTTGACAAATACTACATGTTTCTGTTATGAATATGAACTTAATTAGTGGAAATATCTTAGGAAAACTGGGCATAAAATGTGTTTATGAATCCGGTAAACTTGTACTATCTCTAAATGGAAAATTTGTTGGAAAAACTATTCTTGTGAAGGAATTGTCAAGCTTTGTACCGTTGACAAATCTTTTAATAATAAAGTGGGTATTGCTTATATCTTTGATTCATTTTTATTATGGCATGTTATAGTAGGTTACATAGGTAAAAGTACTATGAAAAGGATGTTGAAATGTGACTTAATTTCATACACTGAAAATGATGCATTTAAATGTCAAACTTGTATAGAATCTAAAATGACTAAAAAGCCATATCAAAGTGTTAATATGACTTCTAGTATTTTAGAATTAATTCATATGGACATATGTGAATTGAATGGATTGTTAACTAGAGGTGGTAATATGTATTTCATTACTTTTATTGTTGATCACTCTAGATGTACGTATGTTTATTTGATGAAGTATAAACATGAAGCATTTAATATATTTAAGGTATATAAAAATGAAGTTGAAAATCACCTAAGTAAAAAAAATAAAGACTTTAAAAAGTGAGAGGTGAGTACCTTTTCACCGATTTTAACTCATTTTGTGAACAACAAGGCATAGTTCATCAATATTCTGCACCTAGGACATCAGAGCAAAATTGTTTGACTGAAAGAAAAAATAGAACTTTAATTGAAATGATTAATGCCATGTTGATTTATGCTAAGTTGTCATTTAATTTATGGGGTGAAGCTTTGTTAAGTGCATGTATGATACTAAATATGATTCCTTCTAAATTTACTAAAGTTTCTCTTTGCGAATTGTGGAAAGGAAGAAAATCGAACATTGAATATTTCAAAGTGTAGAGATGTCTTAATTATTGTAAAAATACAAACCCTAACATGACCAAGTTAGGTCTAAGAGGCATCAAATGTGCCTTTGTTGGATATACTAACAATAGCAAATCATATCGATTGTTGAATTTAGAGTCCAATGTGATTATTGAATCCAGCAATGTAGAGTTATTCGAGAATTTCATTATTTTTGGATAACGAATTAAGGAAAATCAATAAATAAATTTCCAGCTCCAGTGGAACACAAGATGAAATATCTTATAAAAATGTTGATGAATCTAGTGAAACTTGAAGGAGCAAAAGAACTCGAATTGAGAAGTCTTTAGGATCGGATGAAATTGACTCTCAACTTATTTCCTTTTACTTAGTAGAAGGAAGTGAGAAGAATGTTGTAAGAACAATTCCTTTTGTTTTACAAGTGGAAATCGATCCTAAAACTTATAGAGAAGCCATGAATTCTCGAGATAGTATTTTTTGGAAAGATGCAGTTAAGGGTGAAATGGATTCAATAATGTCTAACAATACTTGGGAACTTATCGATTTACCATGCGGATCCAAACCTATTGCATGTAAATGAGTGTTTAAGAAAAGTATAATGTTGATGGTTCTCTTAATACCTTTAAAACTAGACTAGTAGCTAAATGTTATCGACAAAAGGAAGAAATAGACTATTTGATACTTATGCACCGGTAGCTAGAATAACATCAATTAAGATGTTATTCGCATTAGCTTCGATGTATACTTACATGTTCATCAAATGGATGTCAAAACGGCATTCTTAAACGGGGATCTCGATGAGGGGGTTTATATGGAACAACTTGAAGAGTTTGTTCTACCTGGAAATGAACGTAAGGTGTGCAAATTAGTTAAGTCATTATAAAGATTGAAGCAAGCGCCTAAGAAATGACATGAGAAATTTGACTTACCTATTATATCATTTGGTTTTAAATATAATAGTGTAGATAAATGTTTCTATTTTAAAGTATGTGTTGAACATGTGATATTTATACGTTTATATATTGATGACATGTTGATTATGAGTAATCACATGGATGGAATAAAAGAAACGAAGAGGTTTCTATCTTCCACATTCAAGATCTTTCAAGATGAAAGATCTTGAACAAGTGGATACCATTTTGGATATCAANTTAATCCAAGTTCAAATCTAATAAAGAATGATGGAAGAGAAATTGCTCAACTAGAGTATGTAAGTGCTATCGGGAGTCTTATGTACGTTGTTCAATGCACAAGACCAGATATAGCTTTTGCAATTAGTAAACCGAGCAATGATCATTGGAATGCTCTTGGAAGAGTTCTTAGATATTTAAAGAAAAACAAGAACTTAGGTCTACAGGACACTAAATTTTCGGCTGTATTGAAAGGATTTACAATGCTAGTTGGATATCTAGCATGGGTGAAAGTAAATCCACTTCTGGTTGGGTGTTTGCTCTTGGAGGTGGTGCTGTTTCTTGGAAATCGAAGAAGCAAACATGTATAACACACTCAACTATGGAATCTGAATTTATAGCATTGTCAGAAATCAAGAAAGAAGCTGAGTGACTTAATAATCTACTTTATGAGACACCTTTGGGACCGAAGAATACATCTTCGATATCTATCATATGTGATAGTCAAGCCACATTAGTAAAAGCATACAATGAGGTATATAATTGAAAGTCTAAATATATGAGTCTAAAACATGAATACATAAGGAAAGTAATCAAGTGTGGAATAATTTTCCTAAATTATGTAAAGTCAATAGAGAACTTAGCGGATCCATTAACTCAACCTCTAAATAGAGATTTAGTAAAATCTATTTTGAATAGAATGGGGTTGCAACTCTTGAACTAAAGGTCTATCAATATAGCAATCCTACCTGTCATTACTCAAAAAAGGAATCCACAAGT